GTCCTTGTCAAACTTGCACTTGGATTTGTTCAACTTGACCCCACGTTCCTTTAGCCGCTGGAAGACTTTTTCTTCAGCTTATCATGTTTCTCCTGACCATCCGTGTGCAGGAGGATGTCGTCCATAAAGCACTCTACACCATCTATGCCCGCTAGAATGTCTTGCATCATACGCTGAAATATCTCAGGCGCAGAGGTGATTCCAAACAGAGACGTCTGTAGAAGTACCGGCCGAACGGGGTAATGAAAGTGGTCAGCTTTGCGGAGTCGTCAACTGCCAAAAGGATGAAGTTGCATGAAGCTTGCTGAACTTGTTTGACCCGCTGAGTTTGTACAAGATGTCGTCTATGGTGGGCTGCATGAATCGTTCACGCTTCACCGATAGGTTGAGCCTTTTCAGATCTGTGCAGATTCTAAGGCTACCAGACCTTTTTCTGACCGGGACCATGGGTGCACACCAGTCAGTTGGAGTGCTGATCTTCTCAATGACACCTGCGGCCTCCATGCGGTCTAGTTCAGCCTTGACTTCGTCCATGAGTGGAATGGGAATCCGACGTGCGACGTTAACGGAGTATGGCTGTGCTTCTTCTTTCAAGATGATTTTCACTGGCTCGCAGCGTATAGGTTTAGGTCCCACATCGCCGAACACGAGGTTGGCAGAGTCTATTCTGTCTCTAGAAATCAGTCCCAGACGAACTACGGCGTCGCGACTGAGAAGACAGTCAGTGTCGTCGTCAAGGACGAAAACACGGAACGCAAAGTCGCGGTTGTTATGCTGCGTAGTTGCGATAAATTCTCCCACGCTCCTTATGATTCCACCAGGACTGCGAAGAACTGCAGACGTTGTTTTCAGCTTTGGACGAGGACTGAGACGGTTGTAAACGGCCTTCGACATTATCGAAACATCGGCCCCTGTGTCTATCTTGAAGGATGTAGCTCTCCCTCCAAGGTTCAGTGTAACGCACCATGGTGGCTCGCTAACTTCGCCGAACTTTACATCGGTAACGACATTACTGTCCGAGTCTTTGTCAACAGCACCTTAAAAGAACGAAGGAGTTTCCGATTCAGTGATTTCGCTGACATTGCGGCTGCTGCTGCGACAGACTGTTGCAAAGTGATTGCGCTTGCCGCATTTCCTGCAAGTTTTCCCACGCGCTGGGCAATTGTTCTGGGCATGACCTCTTCCACAGTTACCGCAGTTAAAGAAAGTTGACGGTGATGCATGGCTGCCTCTGTGTTGTGAGTGTGTACCTGTTCTTCGGCCGCCTCTACCCCTGGTGTGAGCAGGCGACGAATATCCCCTCTGGCCGTAGCGCACTGCATCTACCGTGACTGCTGCACCTAGCTGACGTTGGCTACTGACCTGACCCTTTACGAGCTCGAAATGGCGAGCTGTATCGATGGCTGATTTCAAAGTAAGAGTTGCCTCGAGTTGTAAGCGCTGTGACTGTTCATAGTCCAGTACTCCTAGGACGAGTCTATCCCTTATGGTTTCATCTCGAGCCTTAAAGTCTGCATGTTCTGAAAGCTCGTACAGGGCTCTAACATATTCTTCTATCGTCTCCCCACTGTTTTGTGCTCGTGCATGAAACTTTGCTCTTTCGTGGATAAGATTTCGTTTGAGGACAAAGTGAGCGCGAAATTCTCTAAGACAGTGTCAAAGTTGTCCCTAGGATAGTTACCTTCGACGGGAGCAGGGAACGTGAACGTGTTAAATATCTGTTCAGCTTGGCGTCCCATAGCGTAAATTAATTAACTTACTTGAATTGCTCCGGTCTCTGCGCTCAGTTTGGTGGCTGTGCAGTATCGTAGCATACGCTGTCGCCACTCGGGCCCCTCGTGAGGTTTGGAAAAATCAAACGGTTCAGGAGGCTTGAAATTAGGCATTCTGACACTTGTGACACGTTATCCACTGACTTCTGACACCATGTAATGTTAGTATACACACACGACTGTAAATTGTAAACTGGAGAGACGAACACACACGACAGCAAGCATTCTAATAATGAGCCCAGGTGTAGTGTCTGACTTTTTATGTTGATCCCCGAAGTGAGTAACATTAACCAAAAGCCCATGGCATACGGGGCGCTTACGTCCCGTGATTAAAAAAGAGTAAGGTACAATACGGTGACTACCGTGACAGTAGGAAAGATCTACACCTAGCCTTCCCGGACACATGTGAAAAAGCTCGGAGGTCCCATGTGCAAGTTGCGAACGTTAAAGATCCATTGATGGTCTAAAATCAATAAGAGTAGGCTTCGGCCGCCATCCTGGCAAAATAAAAAAATTCCTACCAACTGAAAGTGTTTAGCGTGTCCCGCGCGCTCATATGACCTTATGCAGTTGCGAGCGCCGTAAAACGCTTACTAACAAAGTAAGAGGTCCCGCCTTTCAAATAACCTTGTCTAAAAGTGTTGACAGGGACTTTATAAACCTATACCATTTCACAATTTTTCACTGATGATCACCGATTGGTCACCATGGGACGTAACAAAGAAAAGTATGCTTTTCCGTTTTTATTATGATCCTGACATCGCTGGTTCTTCCATCGTGGGCTATATTTTTAACCCTCACAGAGACTGGCAGCGACGATTTTTCCGTATTATTATTATGTGACTTAGATGGACTAAAGAAGACCCAGCAATGCATCCTGCTGCGAATGCTGGGACAATAACCCAGAAAAGGAAAAAAACTGACATCGCGGGTTCTTCCCTTGTGCTTTTCATGAGGGGGTGAGATGCATAATCCGCTAAGCAACATTTTGGAAAAAAAAAATAGATCTTTTGCTTTAAATGCACATTGCTACCGGCTGTCGTCAGATGCATAATTAAGTGTTTTCGGCCAAGACCCAACACATACTTCATAAAAGCCACCAAAAAATCTTTTTACGCATTAAAAAAAGCGGATTTTTTCAAAAGTGCTAAAACAGATTTAGCGGATTTTGCTTCTAGGCCCCTGACACACACACACACGTACGCACACACGCACGCACACACATACATACACACATACATAACATACACACATCCAAGCTGTTATAGAGGCAATAGAAAGAGGGCAACTTTGTAATGAAATGATTTCTTAATTAAAAAACATAAAACAGCAAACAGAAGAGGCCATATTTTTTTACATTAAGGACATTTTAAAAATTAGTGAGAAAAAAAGAGAACAAAGAGAACATTTTCAGGATCTTAATATCAAAATTATATCATACCTGGCCCCTTTCCCAATTTACAAGACATTTAGCTGATTCAAACATATTGATATTCTGTGTACAATCACAAAATGTTTGTAATATAATGTTAAACAATATGATACATACAGGCAATAAGGTGTACGTAACACCAATGTTTACACTCACATGATAAACACAAAATAATACTTTGCAAAAACTGATTATCTAAATATATGATGTCATTATACCATTGTATAATGTGGCATCTAACAATTTTTTCCTTGAACAATCTCAACTTGTCTGTGCTTAGCAGACAATCCTATGAAGAGTACGGTAGTAAACATTTCCAAGGAAAGGGAAAAAACAACTGTGAACATTGCAATTATTTTCCACCACATGCCCTAGATCTGCTGTTTTTTTTACAGCACAGTGAATGACTGATTATACATGATGTAAAGGCTGATTCAGACATAAAACTTCAATCAAGAGATAAAAATAAAAATGAATTTGAAGACTTTTTTTTTGCTTGAATTACAAATAATTTTTGTTTGTTTCTGTGCGTGTGTGTGTGTGTATATATATATATATATATATTGTGTGTATATATATATATATATTGTGTATATATATATATATATATTGTGTGTGTGTATATATATATATATTGTGTGTGTATATATATATAGATATTGTTTTGTTGGGGGTTTTTTCTTTAAAAAAAGAAATTCAATTTCAACCAATGTCCTATATATAAAAAATGTTTCCATACAACATTCAAATTTAGTGGAGAGTTAAAAATGCTAAGATATTTTTCATAAGGTTTAAAGCTTTTTGATGATACACATGTAATTCTCTTTTTCTTTTAATAAATAACACAAAAATTCTTAGCATTTTAGGCACAGGCAGAAACAAGGTCTAGGGCTAGAGCCTTAGAGTTCAGTGAATTAATGCACCAAGATACTAAGGAAAACCACATTCTAATCTGTTCGATCATGGCATTTTTACTATGTTGCATTAAGTTTAAGACTAAGACTGAGTGCTTTCTTAATATGTATAGCCTAATATGTTGTAGAAACATTTTTGAAATGAGAGATTATATGAGTATGAGTCAAAAGTAAATACAGCATTTTGAGATTACACATGTCACGATGCGGTGGAATCAGGCGTCCATCAATTTTGGGGCATGTAGAGTTATTGGTACCATCTTAAAACTTGTTCATTTGTCTTGCCTTTGATGAAGAAGTACCCATCTATCTTAAAAAAGATGTCGAGATATTTGCTATCGAATGAAGTGGGGATCGCCTGGTTTCAGAGATAAATTTGAGAGAAAATGGCCACCAAAGTTTTGATCACTTCGATAGCTTGGTAACTGAAAAATTTACGCTTTTTTGTTGCCTTTAATCAACATTTTCAATAAAATCCATACACAGAAATATAAAAAGTGCTGGGCTAAAAAAACAAAAATTCAATAACAACTGCCAAGCGAGCGAAAAAAATAACGGTTTCTTCGATTTCATTATTTTGATGAGCGCCTGATTTCACCACGATGCCTCATATGTTAAGTTATATTAGGCCAATCTTACGATGCCAGAGTAATATAAATATTAAATAAGCTTTCAAAACAAATGACCAGAGAGCAAAAAACGGATTGAACCTGAGTTCTTTTTGTTTTTTAATGCTGTATAATAATAATAATAATATGCAGGTGCACAATGCATTCAAACACAAAAAGGAAAGAAATGAAAGCAATAATTATTGAACTTTTTGTTTTCAGCACGTCAAAATGATAATAACAGACATCAAATAAGGAAAGATGGAAAAACAGTGGAACTTGGATTCAAGGAGATGAAAACAGGTGACACAACAGGACTGACCAGAAAAGAGGAGACGAGGAGAAAAGAAAATCTTTCGACCTTGTCAGGCTTTGAACCTGAGACCTATTGAATGAGAAGCGAACACCGTACCTCTGGACTACAAGAGCCACCCTAAAATGTATGTAATGAGCTGTAATATTTTTGCTAACCACAGGATAAAAATCCACACTGGAAAAACTTGTTGCTGAGACATTTTTTATAACTCCTCTGTACCGAAGAACAAGAACCAGCTGTTAACTTCTACAGGTACTTGTTATTCCCCTCCCCCCCCCCCCCCCCCCCCGTCCTAATCCACCCCAAATCTGTTATTCTCCAAAACTGACTTAATCAACAGTAAGGTATTATTTTTCACATACAGATTTTACAAATTATATCATTACAGTCTAAAAGTGCTAAAAACCCAGAGGGGATAAACTCATACTACTCATAGTAAAAAAAACTACAACAACCCAAAAATAATATAACACACAGCAGTAATATGGAATGTTTTACTTCAGACATACAAACCACCCATTCATACATTTTGAAGGACAGTATACATAACTGACACGAGCAATAATTAGGAAGAAAGAAAACCGAGATGCTTTATAAAAAGATGCCAAGTTACGATTAAGATTGATTTTCATCGGTCATAAGAGTAATGGTCACATTTCACCACAATAAGGCCCAACCTAAAGGACAGCAGAAACACTGAAAAGCTGAAGAAAGAGAAGGTCTGAGCCTCTGTATATGTGTTACGACGCAGAGGAATCAGGCGCCTGTCAATTTTTGGGCATGTGGAGTTATGCGTATCATGAAAGCTGATTTATTTGCCTTGGTTCAAATGAAATAAATCCATTTTTCTTCAATAGAACTCACGATATTTACGATTGAAGGAAATGAGGTCGCCTGGTTTCAGTGGTGAAATAAACGAGAAAATAGCCGCCAGAGTTTGGTGACTCAATAGCTGAAGAGTCCTTGAAAACAGAAAAATGGTATATTTCGTGCCTTTGAGCAACATTTTTCAGTAAAATTCACATGGAAATGAGTATTTATATATATGGACATAAAAGAGGTTGGGTTGAGCTGAAAAATAAAAATTCTGGAAAAATTTCCAAACTGGTGGAAAAATGTCTGTTTTTCCAATTTTTATATTTTGATGAGCGCCTGATTTCATAACGCTGCCTCATATAATTGAATCATCTACTCACAATCTTTACTGTACATTTGTAAGAGATTGGACTCATAATCCGATTCCACACATATATATATCGTCGATAGGATTCACAAACCAAAAGGTTAAGTTATAAATGTTGGGACCAAATACTACTTGATTTTTCTTAAATAACACAACCGATAGTTTTATTTCGCATGTAGCCGGTTATGGAATCACAAAAAAATGTGCAGCACAATGCAGGTGGCCGGTTCTCTGCATGTGGCCGGTTCGCGCAGGACGCTTCCCCGCACAGCCGTGACACGAGGCGGTATGTAGCCAGTTTGTCGCAGCTGTGTGCCACTGTTCGCCGTCATGATAAGTAAAGACGTAGATGAACATGGACGACGGCGAGTAATAGTATTTGAACTAATAGATCTATCTTAATGAAAGCTGTCTGGTTCAAATTGGGTTTGAATCTTAACCTGGTCGATTCATACACAAAATGTTTTAGATTAGAATGACAAGTTTAGTGCTTTGACTGGCCCTTTGTCTGTAAATTAATTAACCCTGGTTACTGGGAGGTGTGGGTTCAAACTTTGTTACCTGTCGATTCATGATGGACATTTTAATGAATTTAATTTAACATGCTAGCTGCTCTCTCGCCTAGTATTTTACATTAGGTGACCAGTACTAGGAGAAGTCGTCGACCCGGTGTCTGAAGGCCAATACATGTACTTGAACATGTGCAAGGGTTAAGGTTCAACGCCCTATCAACACTATTAGGTTATTCAAGAGGAAAAGGGGGGAAGGGGGACTATATCTGCATGTGTGGAACTTTAGCTGTACTACGTGAAATATCCCAATGTGCCAGGTCATCAATGGTATGACTAGAGAATTGTTGATAAGAAGACATCGCTGTGTTTACAAAAATATCAAACAAAAACCCAAACCAACCCATATTAAGTTGCTTAATAAAAAGCCAGGACAAGACTTTTTTAAAAAAGCATTTGACTGAGAAACCTCCACTTTTGTTCGATATCCCCCAAGGAAAGGGCCTTGGTATGGCAAAGTTTGGTCTTGGGGCTCTAATCTGGATCGGGAGGTTATGGGTTCGATTCTCGGCTGAATAATAATAACATTTAAAACTTGGTCCCTTTGCATCTTATTGTCTGGGGCGTGATTGAAAGAATATTAGCATCGTTTGATTGCACATAGATGGGCTCATTTCTTCCTGTGCACTATCTTTCATCATTTCTCACACTTGAGTTCCTACATTATAATAAACAATGAAACAGTGCAAGCTACATAGACGACAAAATCACATTTGAATTCCATGATTGTAAGTCTCTACTTTCCCTATGAGCAATGTTCGGTGCTAGTCAGTTGACAGAGCGTGGTAAAATGGATGGTACTCAACTGTAATGACCTCTTACACCGTTTGGACATGTTAGTATTTCTCCGTTCTTCATTTTCTTGGAGCTAGTGTAGGCAGGCGTTGGGTCAACCAGCTCCCACTTTGGTTGGTTTGACCTCTTGGGAGAATTTGGTGGGGCTCATCTCCATGACTCATCAGGATACACCTCCTGTCCGTCACCGAAGAGTCCCCGACTCTCCTGCTGGGTTGGAAATGGTCAGACATGCTCTTGTAATCCTGAAAACCGTTGGTGTTGCAGATATTTCACATGGTATGGATGGGGTTTGAGCGTGATGACTGTGTTTTATGGACATACTGGGCTGACACATAGCTAGGGGAGTCTTCAACCTCCTCTCGATATAATTGAGCTCGGAAACCCCTTCTGTTTGTAAGATGCTCCTTTTCTGGTATTCTTTGTTCAATTTGAACCCTGTTTCTAGCACAAAAAAGAAGCAGCTTTGGTATGTCCAATCATCACCGTATAAGAGTTACTTTTGGCAGCCAGGATTCCTTTCAGAAAGTTGATTATGTACGTTGCAAATTCGTTCTGTCTCAGCCCACCACATCGTTCTCAGCAACGTTGTAGAACGTATAATAATGCACCGATATTTTAATCTTGTAATACAGAGAAGACGCATTGCTTCTTAGTGCCAAAGGAGCAGCTAGCACGTCCGTTCAACACCAGAGTGTTTTTCATCTTCACCTAAGGTTTTGATGGCTATTTCCTTGTCGGCTGTGGCTTTCTGTTTGTTTCTACACGCTTTCAATGTTTCAACCAAGCGTGTTCACGCACGTTGCCACAATAATCAGGTAAACATCGCAACAATACTCACGAAGACAGAACAGAGCCAAGTTGAGCTCATCGAAAATTTGCTTCACAAGAGGGAGCGTTGCTTCATTTCTGTATACTCTGAAGAGTAGAGCCATTACACTATGTCAGCGAAACTTTGGAAAGGGGCCTCAAGGTACAGCTTAGTTGAGCCATACAGTAATTTAATGTAATGATAGTCGTGATAACTTGTTGAAGAATCCCTTAACACTGAAAATACATCGGCCGCACGTGCATTCATGTTTGACTGCTCATTCATCGCCCAGTTCCTAACACATCAAGTTCCAAAGTCCGATGGTTGACATAATAAAGAACTGTCGGCAAACTTTCTCCGCAAACTGTCAGCTACGTTGCTGAAAATAGGCCTACCTGAATGCGCTTTATTTTTTTAACCTTTGGTCTCTTCAGACCGGCTTGATCCAGACGCACAAAACACTCCTCCCCATCACATTATCTTTTTAAAAAATGAATTACAAATGTACGCTTCTGTACCCATGTGAGTCTCCATACTGCTTTTAAAACATCTGTCTCTTTCCTTATAACTGAATTCGTCACAATGGTATCTTTTATTCTGACAAGAGTATCTTTTGGATTTGTTGAGCTATTCTAGCTTTTGTTATTCCAGCCTTTTGGTCTCATTTCGTTTCTAGTTGTGCTAGTCAATCTGTTACTTTCGAGAATGCAGTCCCCCACAAGGATCAATTTTACCTTTTCCTTTTTTCATTCCTCTTCTACCCACTTCCCTGCCGCACTTGTTCATCTTGTCGCAAGAATCCATTCCTTCTGAATACATCACACATGCATTCCGCCGTCTTCCAATTTTATGTCCATTAGTTCCCTCATGATTGCTCCTTACAGCTGTAGGGATCTTTGGCAATAGTTTAAAGAAACATCTCAAATTCAGGGTCATTCTTAAGAAGACCATCGACACTTTCTGAAAGTGAAATGTTCAAAACACCAGGGTGAAGCCGAGTCGATGGTGATAGCCATGGGCAATATCGTGGCTCCATGATAGAGGTGAATCGTGGATTATTTGCAGGAGTGCACTTGCCAGTGGTCTTCTCCAATGTCTTAACCAGACTCAGCTTGACCGGGCATCTTCTGCGAGATAAGGGATCCATCATGTATCCTCAGCCCGACTCATGCCAAAATGTCAAGAAAGTGGTATTTGTAAAGGACTAGCATTCATTATTGAAGAACAGCGTTAACGTAGATAAACTATTCTGTAAACCTGACAAAGATAGCCATTTCACATTTTGGGAGGTTTTTTTCTCTCTTTCGATGACTTGTTCTTGGTCCTTTCTTTACCAATCGTGAATCATAAATGACGCCGGCGGAGGTTTTTGGGTGGAACCACACTCTCTGCTAAATATAGCTCTGGCATAATAATACTAAAACCAGATACCTGAATAGATAAAACTTTATTGATGCGTCAATATCGTAAGAAAATGATGTCTGCCACAATATAGTATACATCACGACTGAAACGCTTAATTTTGCGAAGAGACCAATGAATAATATCAGTTCACACCCATGGTCACAGCGTAGGATAATTCCAAGAACAAAAAGGATTGCATCCAGAATGTCAACAATGAAATAGTAACAAGAAAGTGCATATTATTATTAAAATATTTTGTGTATTATTTTTAGTATTATTTTAGTATTACTACTTCTGCTGCTGCTGCTGCTGCTGCTGCTACTACTGCTGCTGCTGCTGCTGATGATGATGGTACTACTACTGCTATTACAGCTGCTCTGCAGAGGCTAACACTAGAATGTGCTATTATACAACAATTAATGTAGGCGAAGAAGAAGAAGAAGAAGGAGAAGGAGAAGGAGAAGAAGAAGAAGGAGAAGAAGAAGAAGAAGGAGAAGGAGAAGGAGAAGAAGAAGAAGGAGAAGAAGAAGCAGAAGAGAGAGAGCTTTTTGTAAAGGTGCGGGCCCATAATGTGGCTGGAACTCTATTGATCTTTCCTGTTCTTATGTTTAATCTAGATACATAAATTAATTGACAAATCTAATCTAGTAAATTGAATCTCACAAATTATTACAAGTCACTTCATTGTTGACTATAATATTTTTTATCTCGATGAACACTGATAACAGTTTACAATTCTGTCTAGTTCAAGAGAAAAAAAAAACATATATGGAACGGTCGGGGTGAGGCGCGGCGGGGAAGCATGTAGCCGGTTTTCGATGGCACGTGTCAACACGTGTCGCGACGGTCTGGTGAAACCGAAGCAGCTATGTACATGGCCGGTTTGGCGATCCCATTTTTCCACCAGCTGCAGGTGTCCGTTTTGGAAAGTCTCAAATAAAACATATTTCTAGTTATTTTTCAAACCTAATATTTATTGGGGACACGTAATAGGCTATTTACTATTCATTAAGCAAATAAAAAGATTTTTGAAATTTTTGCATGTAGCCGGTTTGTGAATCCCATCGACCATATATAAATATTACGTGAACATATATAAGTGAAAATGCAAGATGAGACTTACTAAAAAACTTCTGAACCGGTAAAGACAAAAATAAACGAGAGCTTATCAGAGTGAGAGAAAAAAAAACTCTGTCTCTATGAGACAAATAAAATATGTCACGACCTGGTGGAGTGGAATCAGGCGCTCGTCATTTTTGGAGCATTTGAAGTTACTGGTATTATCTTAATTGGTCTTTTGTCTTGCTTTTGATGGAAAAATCTCTCTTAACTGAACGCCAAGCTCTTTGTGATTCAAGGAGGTGGGGGTCACTTAGTGTCAAAAGGTAAAGATTAGGAGAATGGTACTTGTCGTTCACCTGCCAAAGTTTGGTGACTTTCAAAGCTGTAGTCTCCAAGCCTTGGAAATTGCATATTTTCTTTCTTTGTTTCCTTTGATCAACTTTCAGTAAAACCCATACATACATGTACAAGGATATTTTCAAGTCTGGACATAAAGGTGTGGAGCCCAAAACCAAAAATTCATTTGCCCAACGGGCGGAAAATGTTGGTTTCATTGATTTCTTTATATTGACAAGCACCAATCTCACCATGATGCCACACAAATAAATGTTTGAAGGAAAATAGAAGCTTTTATATTCAATGCACAAAGTGGAAGAACCTTAAAAGGAATAGGCCTACCACTTTTCCATATATGCTCAATTTAACTGTTCACATTGAAAAATCAACATTGACCTGGAAGCCCTGAAGACTGATAGATGAAAATCATGATAAGAAGCCTAAAGCTCATTTAAAATCGTAACAAAATCAAAGAAGCGTTAAAAATCTGATGTTTGTAGTTCCAAAGCTTCATATCAAGTTCCCATTTACCAAGGTGTCTGAACAAAACAAAGAAAATGGAGACATCAAAATTTCAGGAACTGAACTATCGATTACATTCAGTGCTCGGTAGTATTTCAGCAAAATGTCCTGAGGCAAAAACCCACTATAACGTATCCATCATAAAAATTTAACCCCCCCCAAAAAAATTCAATTACTTCCCTTACCTGCATACTGGCTCTGAGGGAGGAGCTCAAAAAAATTATTTTTTTAAAAATAAAAAGAGTCAAAAACTCTTAGAGTTAATGTTTCTTTCCTTAGAGGAGAACTGTGCATGGGGATCATATCTCCCCCCCCCCCCCCCTCCCCCCAGTTTTCTCCCTACAAGAATTTTGCAAATAATGGGTTGAGCCCTTCACTTTTGGTTTTATTTGTGAGTTGGTGTATAGGCCTAGTTGGCATGTGGTGAGTAGAGTACTTTATTACAGGATTCATAAATTACTATGTGGGGAAGGGAAGAGAAATGGCAGTGGGTAGATGTGATATATACGGCCAAGGTGCCTGGAAGCGCGGAAAAGAGGGATGGCGGTTGAAAGCAAGAGAAAGAGAAAAAAATCATATATATAATAAAATTATTTATTTTCAAACAATAACGCAAAAAGAAGCGAGTTCAGACCCATACACACAACTACACTGTACAAGCACAGAAATATAAGCAACATAGAAATGCAAGTCCATAAAAATAATGGCAAGACACAAAAGTAATTCAAAGTTTAGAAACAAATTCAAACCATGAGGCAGATTGGGGGGCAGGGTGGGAGGGGGAGAGGAAGGAGAATGTTTAGCACCATACTACACAAAAATGATAAGCTACATCTATTCAATCCATCTTTAAAATATTGACAGAATGTAATGGTGTTCAAAATTTACAAGTCTTGGTGACTGACCTCACTATATTTCTCTGCTCCAGTGACTATTAATACTCGTGGCATCATGGCCAAATCCAGAACTCGTCAAAATAATGAAATAGAAGAAATCAACGATTTTTCCATCCGTTGGGAAATTATTATCTTTTTGGGGTGGGGGGGGGGGGGGGGGGGGGGGGGGGGAGGGGCTTTTCATGTCCATTAAAAAACAAATTTCTGTGTGTAATTTAACAGAAAAATTACGAAAGGTACGAAAATTTAAATTTTGATTTCCAAGAGCACTTCATGCTTTGGAAGTCACCAAATTTTGGCTGCCATTAACTCATTATTTTTACCTCCGACACCACCTCCTTCAATCACAAATATCTCGACTTCTGTTTAAGATAGATGGCTATTTTTTCAAGACAAAATAAACAAGTTTTAAGCTGATAGCGTATGTACAGTCGAACCTGCCTTAACAGAAACATTTGTAAGACCTGTCATTACAGAATCTCCCTGTTTCGCCCTTGATAAACTTCTCTATAATTAGCTCTATAAAACGGAAACCTACCTAACCCAGAAACAGAAAGAAATTTCTTTTATTGAGGGTTTTTACCTAAGACAGAAAATGCTTTGCCCAATCAGCCATGATTTGAAACAAAACTACCAAGTTTGGTTCCATCAGCTGCCAAGCAATGAAGGGGAGTAGGGATGCAATTTCAGGGTACATAGTAAATCATGGTGAGCCCTTGAGGGTGCAGATGGTCAGGATGATGGTCTCACCTGTACCTATGAAAGTACTCCAGTGGGACTCCAGCACAGAAACTTTCACGAGTTGTCAGAGCTCAGAGGTGTGAAAATAGTTTGACCAATGCCTGCCGCCCTAATCTTAAGGCCAGCGGAGAAAAGTTTCTTGGACTGTTGTGACATACACGGGAGGGGTGGCACTGATTGACTGCTATAACACCGGTGGGTGGGGCTAAGGGTGGAAGCAAAGGAGATGGTCAAATGTTTGTTTTTAATACGTCAAGCACCAGTGACAATGGACAAGTGTAGGACCGACATCCATTATTATTAGAGAGGAGAGCACTTGAGAGGTGTGAAGTTTTGACCACTGCTTGCTGACACGACAAGCGACCCTTGATTTCACCGGCTCTCCTCCTAATACCCCTGCCTAAGACAAAATTTTTTTCTGGCTCCCTTGCCATTATGTCTTACACATGTTCAACAGTATGTCCAAAAAAATGATCCCTCCATGACCTGACACATGTCTGAGGAACAGGGAAAAAAAGCTATTAAAAAGCATCTACATTACCATCACCAATCCGCAGCAGAATGAAATAGGCACAGAAAAACATTTTCCAATATTCGTTCATGTCTAAAGCTTGGATCAGAAAGACTGCCATGTTTGCCAGTCCAGTGGATGCACATCATGAAGTTCTGAAGTTTGGTGGGACGGTAGTAGCACTGTCTGTGATGGATCTGATAGTCCATTGGGGGTGGCCAAAGTCACCCCTAGTCTGTCTGCTCCTTGCATGGAGAAAGTGTCAAACAGCTGTGGATTTTGCTGGATGTAAAAAGCTGGGTGTATGCTGGATGTCTTCACAACATCAACATGTACTGGGGACTTGCTGACGTAGGCACACAAGACATCTCTGTTCGAAGCCAGCATCACTGGGTTACTGGAGCAGCTGTGAAAACCCATGGCCACTTCGGACGGATGATGGAGGACTTGGGTCGTGGCTGCAGCAGTTGTGCAAGTTGGAATGAGAGGGTCACTGCTGAAAGCCGAGTGTTGCTGAAAAACGCCTTCTTTTTCACTTTGATGACTTGATGCCTTCGCATCAAGTGTGTGATTCATATCATCATCAGCCCGGTCATTTAGCCCTGGGGCAACGTCAGAATCACTCTGCATCGGAATGTGTCGTGTGTCAAACAGCTGGTGTGAGCTTAGGTCTTGTGTGCTCATCGGTGCCAACTGAAAGCTTTCAAAAGAATCTATCTTGCGGGGTGGGAAAGCTTTCCGTTTGTTATTTTTCTTACTATTATAAAAAATCTCATCACCCGAATCAGTGCTGTCAGTATCGTTCTTCTTATTGTCTGTGCTGTAAGTGGAAATACTAGGAATTTTCAAAATATTAGAATCATCAATTACAGAATCAGAAGATGTTTCAGCAGCAAGAGTGGCACTATCTCCCAAGACAGCAGGCTCACAACTGGAAGGTAAAGGGTCAGAGGAGTCAGCAATAGAGTTCTCATTAAGTTCCTGAATTGCTGCCTCTGAGCCCGGCTCAGGAACAGGCACTTTGTTGCTTCCTCTCAGCACCACAATATATGGGAGATGCTTGCCCCACAAGTTCTGAAAAGACCTAAGAGATACAGCTCTCAAGCTGTTCTTGGCACACCATAGTTTGTACTTGTGATGGACATACAATTTGGACTGAGAGGGGGACATGACCACCAGGCCTCTGCTTGTCTTGCTGCCCGAGGTGTGACCAAAAGGAGATACACAATGTTTGTTAGCATATTCCTTGATGAAATCAAGCACTCTCTCACTGTCATCATTAGAAAGAGCATGATGTGGAATGTTAGCTTTGTTCCCATGAACTCTAGCACTAATGCCTTCTTGTTTGTAATGTTTCATCAGGGCACACAGCCTTCCTTTACAGATGCCATGAATGAACAGGAAAGTCTCACGACAAATTTTTTTACTTTCATGATAATAACACAATCTGCATCTCTGTCTCTCCCGCTTTTGACTCTTCTTCACTTTTTCTTCCCGGTTGATGTTGGCAGCAATCTTCGCCAAAATAACCAGGTCCAGCGACTCTCGTTTTAGTTTGAGGTGATGTAGTCGTTCTTTACGAAGCCTTTCCTCATCAAAGAGCAGCCAGCATGGTTTACCTTTGTTGAACTTACAAACACACTTGATTTCCTTTTCCAATTTAGACACCACACTCGGAGCTGGTTCCTCTACTGCGAGGGGCTCCATGTGAACAGTACTCAGTGTCTGCCTAGGTGCTCGGCTTATAGACACTGTGGCCTGTGTTGGACTGGAGATGAGCTCTCTCAGCATAGGCCATGAGCTGCGAGTGGGGCAGCTGGGAATGTCAAAGGGGGACACAGAGTCCGATGCAGAAGAAGTATACTTTGGTGCACTGACAGCCTCCCCCATCATTGCTAACAAGACTGATGTGGTAGAAGGTGCACACGTTGTTACAACAGAAACTGACAAGTCAGCAGAAGCAGCGGGCACTGACTGGATGGCTAAGGGTTTCTTCAACCCTGAAGCTTGCTGTGATCTGTTGTGTTCTAAAATAAGGTCAGTCTCCTCAGTCAAAACCATAGGTTTCTGGCAAGACTTTTCGGACAAATTGCTCTGTTTGACCTTACTATTATTAGCTTTTACTTTGTCGTCGTTTTGTCTCTCAGATACTGTCTTTGTCTTCTTTCCCTTTCTCTTCGAATGTGCTTTTTTCTTTGGCTGGGATTCAGTTTTCTTTCTTCTTACACAACTAGCTTTAGATGGTTGTTTTCTTTTGACACTTTTTAAAATATCAGGCTGTCTGACAGAGCTCGAGCTATACATATTACTACTGACAGGTAGTGAATCTTGTCCATGCTCCAAGCTTGCTTGAAATTCCTTTAATTTAACTTTTTTTTTCGTGGTTTCATCAGGGGGATCCACTGATAAAAGAGAGGTTGAACCTTCCACATCGTTTACCTCATAATCTAAGAAATTTTCATTGTGACTACCAAAATCATTTTCCTCTTCGTAACTAAGAACATCTTCAAGGTCATGAAGAAAATATGGGGACTTTCCCAGGACAAACTGATGATCAAACGGTAAAATGTCTGCTGAACTCATCATGCCAAGCTGTCGTTCCCCCACAAGGCTTTTCTACAGAGCTCATCACAATTTGAGGTAAAGCGCCAGCCTTGGGCTTCAACAGAGAAAAACTGAAACGGAAAAAGAAGTACTTGTGTTACAATATTGGTATTCAAACCTTGTGTGACAACTAAAACGTGTATGCAAAATTCCCTGACTAATCAGGTATTCTACGGTTAGATAAGATAAGATAAGATACATCTTTATTGTTCAGATCCTGGTACATTGGTTTGGTGTTCCACCACGAGTACACACACACACACACACACACACACACACACACACGCGCGCACACACACACACACACACACACGTACACACGTGCACACACATGCACACACAAGTAGGCTTACAATCACATGCATAATACATAATATAAATGAGCAGCAATATAAACAATAATAATCGTAAGCTAGATACACACTCAATGTTATTTTGATGCATGCTCTAAGGTCGTAAGTACACCAAACAAGATGGTTAAGATGGAAGCATTTTGATAGATGATGGTAAAAATGACCTTCTGTATCTTTCTTTGTTACAGATCAGAAGCATGGGTCCTTTACTTCTGACTGATGTTTTTATTTGAGGGAACATAGTCCGAGCGCCAGATGAAAAAGCTTGTTTTGCCTCATAAAGTTTTTTTCTTTGGTGATTCTAACAGAGTTTTCATTGCTGATTTCAAATCTAATGGGGGCCAAATGTTAAACTTTGGGCATTTTTGTTTAAAAGTGAAAATCCAAGATGGCCGCCATAGAATTTCGAGTAAAAGATGTTGTGAGGGAAATCATGCATTTAAAGACATAAAAATTTACAAACTTAATTAAATAGCATTCAGAGTGACAAAAGTAACCACTCTTGATGAAATACACTTTAAATATTTGATAAAATGGCAACTTCAAAGAAAACAAGATGGCCGCCATATAGTTTTCATAAACGTGCTGATCCGCAATACACTTGAAATCGTCGCATTAAAATCACGACCTCGCATGGATAACTTCTTCCTCGTGGCAGAGGCTGACACACACACACACACACACACACACACACACACACACACACACACACATATATATATATATATATATATATATATATATATATATATATATATATATATATTTATATATAGACTACAATATTACTTTAAAGTATTTCATCAAAAACGTGTGGATGCAGGCACTGCATGGATCGGAAATAGTAAAGACAGTAGCGAGCATAGTTGACGTTCCAGGCTCGAAGATGTAGGGAACATCTTTTCCACAGCAAGCAAGTGAAGAGTCCAGTCAGCTTCTCTCTCAGCCCGAACAAAGGCCCTCGCAATGAACACTGGGTCAAGGAGCACTCAACCCAAAGTCTTGTGGTTTTGCTCTGGGTGCTTTTGGTGACGAGACATTGCGTGAGTGCAGCCATGGTGTGAACGTTAGTTTTGGGGAGAATGGGTCGCAGTAACTCCTCAACAAGAAGTCTCAATGCTTTTACATTTTGTGGGTATTTTTTCCGGGTCAACATTTTTGGCACCCCCACAAAATGCAGAGCCAAGTATGCCACTTCCTCCCATCAGGTATCCCACAGCAGTAACAAAACTCCTCAGCATGTGCATACCACCAAGTCTTGGGATGAACTTCTGAAACTGTTCCTTGTCAACCAATGTGATGTGGACAAGTTTTTTTTGTACAGCTGGTAGTCACTGGTGAATATTGTCTGTCCATGACCAGTGAGCTGTGTCAGACCATTGGCTTCAACCATTGCTGTCTTCACGGTGTCTGGCTCAGATGGGATAATGTCCAGTACATCACATCTGTCTTTGGTTGGGGTTGTTGTTCTGCACTGCGGGTACGTTGTGTGTTATAACCTCCATACTCAGGTCTTGCATCTTCGCCGAGTGCCTGTTTAAAAAATGACAGATCTTGAGTTGCAGTTCTATTCAGAGAAGCCTGTCGAGTGGCAAGAAAGACCAGAGATGAGACATGTCGCAGGCTCAGTTCTTCCGGCATAAGTGGTTTAGTGTTTCCTGTGTACCGTTGAACTGCAACGTCACTAAGTGTCAGATTATCGGACTTGGTTTCTATTTTGCTGAGACGCCTGATGGCTGGAATATCTTGCATTTCCCACACCTGCTCTGACTTCTGCGTGTTGGCTTGTGCCAGTATCTTTGCTGAGCCGAGCGTTGATTTCTGGCCTTTTGGAGATGATATCTGCATATCAAAGTTGTCAGCTACAACTTGAACAAGTCCATGTTTACTGTCAAAGTAGACCAGTCCTCGTGGAACAGATGCCATAGCAACAGTAGCTGAACACCGAAAGCGCCTTAGTTCGTCCCGTGAAGTGGTGACTCCATACGTGTGAAGTTCGTCTATAAATTTCCTCTGTCAACTCAACAGAACACAAAATCCAAGTTGCAAGTTTGTGAAATACTTGCTGACTGTACTCGTAACAGTGCGGCCGATCATTGCTGCTGGCAGTGTAGAATCCAGTTTGGGGTTTTTGGCTGCAAGGACCGATAGTAAAGGCTGCACTCATTCATGACAAATCCCCTATGCAGACGAGTTGGGGACGTATGGCGATTGTGCTTTGGACATTCTGCTTTGATCACACTAACCAAGCATGATATGGCTCGTCCATTGCAGTCTCCTTCATCATTTACAATACGCATCTAGACAGAAGCCGTGCTCCTGAAGACGAGGAAGGAAGCCACACCTGGTGCGACAGGATCAGCAATTCTGGATGTAGCTTCTCAGATACTTGGTTCTGGAGTGTACGTCGCAATTTGTCTTCCTCCCCCCCCCCCCCCCCCCCAAGTTCAATATAGCGTTCATGGACTTCCACACTATTCCACATTCGTGATTTGTTTCATCGAATGTTGTCAACCAGCATACCGAAGGCATAGTCATGCTATGTAGGTGAGCTAGTTGATTGCGTTGGATAGTTTGTGTAGAACCAGGAGTGGCAGTCTCTCTAATACCTAGCGTCTGCCAAATCACTGACTGTTGATGACACACGGAAGCTGACATCCATTCCCCATTTGTCCCCACGTTCCTTGGCACGTTTTTTTGTAGTTCTTCTTTGGTGATCTTCCTCCCTTTCTCCTCTACAGTTCGGCATAATAAGTAGGCTTTTTTCAACGATCTGGGTGTTTTCGGGAGTATCAGTGAGCATGCTTCTCCACAAAAACAAAAAAAAACAATGTTCGTGAAAATTAAACGAACTAGTACTGCCCCTATGACGTTTGAGTTCTACTTCAGAAAGTTCTTCAGTCTATTGCTTTAGTAAAAATCGCTTAATATGGTCTCTGGAACAATGTGTGCTCACACAGTTCTTGTGACACAGTATAAACTCAGCATGATCTGGAAGTCTCTGACTGAGTCCATCATCTCGTTGCCGGCTTGCTTCCAGTAGACCACTAATCCGTCTTGATTTGATCAGCGGTGGGTTCTTTATCGCATCAGTTTGTGTTTAAAGTAATTGAGAGAGACACTGTGTGTATGCATGTGCATGTTGCATGAACCAGCCTGATCGCATCACGTCCTCGTGGTGACGTAGCGGTTTCCTACATTCTTTGTTTCTATGGAGGTGTGGTGTGACGAAGCACTGTCTGCCAATGTCTCCTTGCTTTGTTGGCTGAGTCCATATTACAGCAGGCCGTGCGGTGCACCTTTCGGTGCATCCTGTGACATCATGGCGAGAGGAGCTATTACTATTAGTATTAGTGTTACGCCTAGTACCCTCGCACGAATCTTGGTCGACTTGTACATGGTATAACAAAAGTGGGTAAAATCCGGATAAACTATCCGGATAATTCTCAACGAAATATTATCTGAATTCAGACTCTAAACTCTCTTTCCTGACCCGTTTGCCGAAGTGAGTGTACCCATTTGTTGATAAAGTAATGCTAACCTGTTTATCTAAGAGATTTTGCAGAAGCGGTTCGTAACATATTATTTGCCGAAGAGGTGTACTAACATATCCGTATTTTGGTAAAGCGACTCATTGCCCAGCCCTAGTCGCTCCTTTATCATTCTTACATGATACGGGTTGGTGTATTTCAATCAGCAGAAAATATTATGCCCATAAGATACAAGTTGGCCCCCGACTGATATAAAGGCTAGAGACCCCGAGGAAGCAGAATCACCAATGAAAAAAACTTTATGATGAAAAACAAGGTTCTAGTACTTTATATAGACCCGGCTCTCGGACTAACAAGGGATGTTTGTTGTCTAAAAAGATGGAATTAATTTTCTTAGTGCAAGCTGTTATGTACAATTCATCCAAGTAGGGGAATGAAGATGTTGAAATTTTACATGCTTTCCGTATTAGTCGATTTAATTTTTCTTTATCTTGTTGTCTTGTGTTCCCGGCCCATGCTGTTATACAAAAATTGATCATACTTTCTATGGTTGAATGGTAGAACATGGACATCAATGTTTTATCAACTTTAAAATACTTTAGCTTTCTTAGAAAAAATAGTCTTTTGTTCACTTTTTTATGCAGGAGAGAAGTGTGGACATGCCAGTTGAGTTTGTTGTCTATTGTAACACCCAAATACTTATAGTCTGACACTTGCTCGATGTTTTCACATTTCATTTTGAGTGGCTGCGGGGGCAGTTTCTTTATTCTAAAATCAACGACAAGTTCTTTTGTTTTTTTCACATTTAAAAGCAGCTTATGATTTTCACACCATTCAGAAAAATTAAGTACAAAATTCCGGTAAGCGGTTTCGTTATGGTCAGCCTGAATTAGCCCAATTATAGTTGAATCATCTGCAAATTTTATCAACTTGATGTTACTGTTTGGCAATCGTTCGTGTATAGTGTGAATAAAACTGGTGGCAAAACACATCCTTGAAGGGCCCCTGTATTTGTTGTGATGTATGTCGATGAAGAATGTTTTAATTTTACATACTGGGTTCGGTTGGTAAGAAAATTGCCTATCCATGATATTAAATTGTCGTTAACACCTATGTTTTCTAATTTCTTTAAAAGGATAGCTGGCTGGATAGTATCAAACATAAGTTTCAATATTTCTTGATTTACTGCTAGCCCTGAAAGGTATTAATTAAAAGTCCATTATATTC